GCCCAGGGTCACACAGCTAGTAAGTGTCAAGTGTTTGGTCTGAGGCCAGATTTGAACACAGGTCCTCCTGACTTCAGGGCCGGTGCTCTATCCACTGCGCCACCTAGCTGCCCTCACCTACTGTTCTTAAGCAAAGTAAGTATACTCTAAGTCTAATTTATAATATTACCAAATTCCTATCACAAAATACTAGACTTTTCTTGGTGAAATATTTACGGACTTGCCTCTATACTTCATGTTGAGAAATCTGTCAAAATGAGAAATAAAAGCCTATTTCACCTACCTCTCAGGCTGATGCACAAATGACCACTTTGAGAATCCTTGTTCCCAAATGTGGCCTCCTTAAGAGCAGGGCCTGTCTTTTGCCTTTCTTTGTATACCTAGTGCTTAGCACAATGCCTGGCACATAGACAATAAATGCATACTGACTGACTATCCTTACTTATAAGCAAAGGGAAGCCAAGAGCACTCTGTTGAACCCCAGGTGAGCATATTTTCTAGCCTGGACACAGGTCCAGGCCACAGTGCTCTAGGACAGGTTTACATCTTGCCAATCCTTCCTTTACTGAGGCAGGATCTAAGGAATTAGGAAGTTGGGGGTGGAAAGACTCCCTTCACGTGTAAAAGATATTGCAATTTGTTTTTGTCCAAATAACTTCTAGACCTAAAGATCTTGAAAAATAGAAGTATGCATTGGCTAGCAAATATCTGAAATACTTGTGATTTTTTCTGAATTTGTAGGTTTTTAAATAAATATTGCATTTTTTTTCTTAACAGATGTCATTGTTTTTTGTTCACTCATTTCAGTCATGTCTAACTTTTTGTGATCCCATTTGGGGTTTTCTTGGCAAAGATACTACATTTAATTTTCCAGCTCATTTTACAGATAAGGAAGCTGAGGCAAACAGGGTTAAGTGACTTGCCCAAGGTAACACAGCTAGTAAGTGTCTGAGGTCAGATCTGAACTCGGAAAGATGAGTCTTCCTGACTCTAGACCTGGCACTCTGTCCACTGTACAACCTAGCCACACCCAACAAATATTATTACAAGTTTTTATTTTAGAACAGCATTAAGTGAGCCATTATTTTTCTCTTTTGTTTTTCAAGTGGTGCCTTTCAAAGTATAGCTTACAAGCTGGGGGGAGGGGGGGACTTGGAAGAGTTCTCAGTGATCTGGACCTCACCTAATGGTATACGGTGCTGTTTAACAAACTCCACCAGATCCAGTGACCCTCCTACACACGGATTGAGAAATGTCCCATGGCCAATTCGGTCAGGAGGCAGCCCCAGGAGGACTTGGGTTTCTTTTTCTTGGTTTGGAATCTAAAAATGATACATATAAATATATCTATGTAGGTTTAAAAAAGAAAGCCGGATTCAGTGGTTCTCAGCTTCTTTTTCTGCAGCTATCATTGCTAGCTATGTGGCTCTGAGCTGCTGATGCACAGCAGGAATTCACACTTCACCTTGTTTTCTTCTGATGAATCTTTTTCACTCTCCTTTTTTCCCCTTCCTTTTTAGCCACTATACTAGATTCCTCTAGACCTCATTTCATTAATGTTTTGTTTTGGCAAAGTTAGCTGTGTCCCACAATCACAGGGTTACAAAAGTATCTCTGCACTTAAGGTTTATCAGACGGTTGTTTTTATTTTTAGAAAGCCCAGGTTAACGTTCAAAGTGTTTTAAATGTTTTATAAGCAATGGAAAAAAGTAGGAATAAAAATAGGAATCTCAAAGGCTTAAGGGAGTGAGTACATTTTGGGGAAAGAAGTGCATACATGGATTAAAGATAACTCAGGTTGAGGAACACATTCTTCTGTTATGCTCATACATAGTCTGTGTAGTTTAAACTTAGTCAAGCTGCTTGCTGTACTTGACATTGTGTGGGCAAAAGAAGATTACCTGGTAGTTTACACAAAACAATAAACTGGGACCAAAATTCTTAAGTTTACCAATGGCTTTTTGATACTGGCCCAATAGCATCTCAATTGCCTTAGTTTTTCTATCTGTAAAATGGGGAGTAGTGCCTCTCTACCTTATACTTATATCACTGGAAAAAAAGGAATGGGTTTCTTAATCAAATGCACATTACTTTGAGGATGAAAACCAATCTTTGCTATTCAAGTTTTGTGAGTGTACGTTATTAATAGCTGTTAGTCATTTTTTGGGGCAGAAAGGGGACAGATAGGGTGAGAAGAGAGACTGGAAGTATGGACAACCAGACAGACCTGGAGGTGCCAGAGGAAAAATCACGGATCTGAGCTCTCCCAGGATGGAAGTGTTTCCTCCAGCTAATTTTCATCCTGTTGGTGGTTTGGGCCATATCACCACATACCAGGTACAGTCCTGCCACTGCCAGATGTTTGGCAACTGAGAAGTGACTCCTCATCTCCTTGCTTGCCACATACATGATAAACAGTCTTTTTCCCTGTCTCTTCCCATTTCCATGTCACTTCAAATACCCACTGAAATGTCATGCCCTGGGACAAGTGAAACTAGTATGCTTTGTTTCATCCTCAGCACATGGAAACACTCAATCAATGCTTTCAATAACAAAGATGATGGGAAGTTCTTGTTTATTTTTCTAATTCTGGAAAGATGTTGATATTAGGTTGTTTTGAATACTGTGATTATGAACTAGAATGTGACTGAACACTGACCTTCAAAACCCCAAATAAGAACACTGCCAGAAAGGAAAAAGTCATGTATAAATTGCAACAGTTTGTCTTAATTCATATCTCCCCCAAAGTCTACCTTTTCCCTTTCAACATATTTTCAAAACTCCCTTTTCTTCCAACCACTTCCTGGTTATTTCTAATTGTATACTTTCCCCATGTGATAGTGGAAAAAGGATTATTCTTGTCTGAGACTATTATTTACCTCTGAAAGATGCAATGCCAGTTTCAGACCTGCTTTTTTGGCTTCCAAAAGAGGTTCCAAAAAGTCTTTCCCATGTCCTGCCTTAAAGAGAAAAGTTAAAATAAGGCTACATGAGAACTTATGAATAAACTGGAGAAATTAGCCATGCTATTTGATAAACGCTTTAATAAACTGGGAGGAGATAGTGGTCAAGATTAGGTAAGCACAATACTGTCACCAATAGTGATCTCAGAGTGCAAAGCAAGATGTGGACAGTCTCTTAAAGGAATTTTAAGCTGAAAGTCAAGTTTTGTGAGTATATGTTATTTAGGACTGTTAGTCATTTTTGGGAGGAGGAAGGGGACAGATGGGGAGGGAAGAGAGACTGGCCTTAGAGATGATCACATCCTCTACTCTAGAATCTTCTACCCTCTTGTACTTTCGCTATTCATGATTTGCTAAATCCTAACTCTAGATTACCCTCATTTCTCCTGATATGCTGCTGAACAGTGCTGTAGGATGCCACACAACTGGCCTGACTGGGTTCAATACAAATTTATATTAACTAATGTCAACTGGGCCCTCACTTCTACAAGGAAATCCTTTTACTCCTCACTATGTTGTTATCCTGAGCAACTGTCCCAAACCTCTTTCTCCTCAAGCAGCTCACACTACCCCATCCCTACAACCTTTCAACAGAAGACCCCACCTCTTACTTCACTGGGAAAGAAGGTCTTTTGCTGTGAACTCCCTGCTCTCCTCTTCTACACATCAAAAACCCCTTGACACCATCCCCCATTATCACTTCCCACCAAGGCCAATCCTTGTACCCTTGACCCTATCCCTTTCTATCTGACAGACTAACCCTGTAATCACCTTCCACCCCTCTAACCTGCAGTCTCTCCCTATTCACTAATTCCTTCCCTGCTTCTCACAAATATACCCGCTCTCCTATATCCTTAATACATCCCCTCTAGACTCTGCCATCCCCACAGGACACTAAATCATGCTTCCCTCTCACAGCCATACTCTTAGGAAAAGCTGTCTATACCCCATCATTGCCTCTCTCCTCTCCCTATGTAATCTCTTGCAGTCTGGTTTCCAACCTCACCACTCAGATGAAACTGCTCTCTCCAAAGTTACGAATGATCTCTTAATTGCCAAATCCAGTGGCCTTTCCACAGTCCTGATCATTCTTAACCTCTCTACAGCTTCTGATAATGTTGCCCACTCTCTCCTCCTGGACAAATGCCTTAGATTTTTGTGACACTGTTATCTCTTGCTTCTCTTCCAGTTTGGTCACTCTTCAGTCACCTCTGCTTGATCATTATACATGTCTAGCCCCCAACTGTGGGTGTATTCCAAAGTTCTGTCGTTGGTCCACTTCTCTTTTCTCTGTTTACTTTCTATTTTGGTTATCTCATCGGCTCCCATGAATTCAATAATCACCTCTATGCTGGTGACTTCCAGATCTCTCATCTATAGCTCTAGTCTTTCTCATGAGGTCCAGTTCCACATCACCATTTCCAAATGCAGGCATGTAAAACTCAATATATAAAAAAAATAGACTTCCTCTTCCCAATTTCCTTACTGAAGACATTATCATTCTTTTCATCAACTAGGCTGGCAATCTGAGTCATCATACATAAAATGCTTCGTTTTTCTACATCCTCGAATCTAACTCAGTTGCCAAGTCTTGTTGATCCTACCTCTACAACATCTTTCTCATCCATCCCCATTTACCTCTCTACCCTCACTAACTACAACTACACTGAGGTCCTCAACACCCTTCATTTGGCTTGCAGCGCTAGCCTCCTAATTGCTCTTCCTGCCCTACGTGTCTCTCTTCTCCAATCCATCTTCCACACAGCTGCCCAAATGGTATTCCTAAAGCCCATATCTGATGACATCATTCTTCTGCCCCCAAAGCTCTATTGTCATATATCTAGGATAAAATACAAACTTCTGCCTGGCATTTAATATACTTCACAATCTAAATACAGCTTACCCCTTTGGACTTACTACGTATTACTCCTTCACACTTTTCAAAAGCACCTTTTGGTTCCCAAACACAACATTCCATCTCCTACTTCTGTACTTTTATAGAGGCTCCCCATGGTTGGAATTAGGGCCCTCCTTCCCTCCACCTCTTAGAATCCCTAGCATCCTTCAAGCTCAGCCTGAGTGCCCCTCCCCGCCATTACCTTTTATATTTACATATACGTGTATATGTTGTTTCCCCTGGCAAAATGCAAACCCCTCCAGGGCAGAGACTGCTGTATCCCCAGCATCTATCACAGTGCCTAGTACATAATAGATAAAAACTGTGGTCCAGTGAGGTTAAACCTTGTCCAAGGTAACTGAGTTCATGATAGAGCTAAGACCACAACCCAGGTCTTCTGTCTCTAAGTTCGGCTCTTTCCACTATATAAAACTAACAATAACCTTGGGATGCTGCAGAAGTGGAAAGTAGAATGGACCAAATAGACCTGCCTAAATTTCAAGACTCTTGATGACTCCTCAAGTCATCCCTTTCTGCCAAATGGACAAACGAAGACAATAATGGAACTTCTCATGCTCAGAGAATCCTTTGGGAGGACATGAAGTCATAGGACTTATGTGAGGTGCTTTTTCAATTAAAACATCTTGCCCTATAATAACAAAATAAGAGTAACTACTTTTGAGAAAAACTTACAGAGGGGTCTCCACTCAAGTCAAGGCCAAGGACAGTACCCTCAGAGGAAAGGATGAATTCTTTGGCAAGTTTAACAGTCTCTTTTGCTACTGAAGGTCCACCTCTTCTGTCTATTGCTATTAAATATCTGCAATACAGGTGAACAGTTGACAGTGAACAAATATATAGCCAAAAAGAAAGCAGGACCATCGGTATAAAGACTACAGATATGGGTGTGTGAATGTGTGTGTGTGTGCGTGTAAAACAAATATGACTAATGAAAGCAATACTTGGTGGGAAACACATTCTAGGAATACTTATTACACAATTATGTCACAATATGTTCAATTCTATTGGGGAATGAGTTCACTATCTTATTTTTAAAATAAGTTTTATTGAAGCTTTTTACTACTACATCACAGTCATTTCCATATATGCTCAACACACAGAACTGGATCTTCCTTTGTTAAAAAAGGAAAACTTTATATGTAACATTCTATACCCATATTTGCCCACCTTTTTTCAAGAAGAGGGAAATATGCTTTATTATCTCTTTTCTTAGAGCAATGACAAAATTCAGTTTCTGCTTAGTATATGTTTTATTTACATCAGTATTGTAATTTTGTAAATGCTTCTAGTTCTGCTTCATTCTGAATCAATTCATTTAAATCCTTTCAGTTCTTCACATATATCAATTTCTTACAGCACAAGAATATACCATTATGTCCACATACCAGTTTGTTTAGTCATTCACCCATTGTATTTTGGTAGCACAAAAAGAAGAGGTCACCATTTTAACTTTACATGTGAATGGAGACAGTTTCCCCATAGTCCATAAAAGGGGTAGCTCTGCATACTCCCAGAGTTACATTGTTTCATTTGGATGTGTGAGTTAAAGCATATAAAAGGCAGAACCAAAGAACATTCTAATTCATCTACTCCAACCCCCTCATTTTACAAAAGAAAATTGAGCCCCAGAGATGAAATGCCAATATTCTGACAGGTAGTAGTGGCAGAGTCAAGATTTGAACCCAGGTCCTCATTCAAAATATTGTACTTGATCCACTGCCCCACACTGCCTCTAAGGCCAAGATTCTTTGTTGCTGCTAATATTTAAAATGATTTCAAAATTTGTAGGCAGAGAACAATGTATTTCACTACTAAAACACACATCAGAGTATTAAGCTACAAATATGTCACTGATCATTCCAAAGAAACCAATCACACCTGAGATTCAGCAGTAAAATGTCATGTTCTTGTTTTTGTAGTAAAAGGTATAATGTTTCTTACCTCACCTCAATATCCAAATTTTCTTGTTTAGACTGTTTTATGCCTTCTAGAACAGCTTCCACATAAGACTTTTTGGTCATACCTAAGAAGGGTACATGCAAACACTCACGTGAACTTGAGCAAAATGTCACCATAAACAGAAACATTCCTGTGCAAACATTTTCATGTCAGGAAAAGGGCCATGAGCTAAAGCACTATCCTTTTTTTTTTTTTTTTAAAGTAACCTCTTTTAAAATTTTAAGTATTTGTTTCCCTTCTTAGTAGGGAAAAGAAGATTCCAGTCTTCCATACTCAAAGTTTATCCCCTAGGTCAGCAGCAAAAATTAACATTCCTAGGTACCCAAATCTTTAACCTCTGATGAGTTAGTTCTCCCTTAGTAGCTGACTTTTGAATGTCCTCCCCCCACCAGAAAAAGCCCCTAGATACGGCTAATTAGCATCATTCCTCCTATTCCTTTTTCAGGAAAAGTTCTGTGTATATTTCAATGTTTATTCTAAAGTTTAAAAATATAAATGAAGATTCTTCACCCCCCCATTTCAATTACTTGCTTCAACTACAAAATAATCTTGGTAATTATTTCAAAACAATTACCCACCAAAAATTTTACTGGCCTATAAATTTCAATAGCAAAGCTGACAGTAATGGAAATTCTTTAGCCCTTCGTTTTTAGTTATTGGCTTCTGTAGAAGATTACCTACACAACTCTCCAGACTACATCCAAATCATACCTAGTCTTCACTGATATATATTATAATATATATATATATATGTCACATTCTAGAAATTATTAAAATATTTCACTTGATCCCAACTTAATTTTTATCTGCCAAGGAATTTTTCCATCATTAAAATTCAAGAAAAATTAAATACTTATGTGCAAATCACTGTGTTAGGAAGTTCTAATGTACAGACAAAGAAAAGTCTTAACCTGAAGGAGCTTGTCTTACTGGCAGATGCAATAAAATATGTGTGTGTGCATACACACACACATATAATTTGAGAAGGGGAGTGCAGAAATCAGGAAAAGGTGTCATAATGGAGGAGGGGGCACCTAAGATGTGCCTTACAAGAAATTAAGGCTTCTAAGAGGCAGAGGTGAGAGGAGTTATGAATTCCCATCATGGGGGCCAGTCTGGAAGAAGGTATGAGTATAAGTGACAATGCTAACTCAGGTGATAGGTATTAAGGAGAAATACTGAGTACGTGAAGGGAAGGGAGAGGAAACAAGTCTGGAAAGGTAGGTTTGTGCCACATGTTAAAGGGTTTTACATACCCCAGAGGCAATAAGGACAGTGAAAGATTGAGCTAGGCAAGCCTGGGCACTTCATCAAGTTAATTCTGGCAGCTGTGTGGGGTAAAAAACTGTATGCAAGGAGTTCAATTAGGAGACTCCTGCAGTAGTCCCAGTGAGAGGTGATGGCTGTGTAAAGCTGGGTAGTAAACCTATGAAGAGAGAGATAGGGCAGATGCAAGAAAGATTGTGAAGGGAGAACAGACAACACTAAGCAACTGACTGGATATGAAGGAAGAGTCCAGATGACCCTGAGGTTGAAATCATGGGTTACTTAGTATGGGTCACTACAGGCAACAACATAGTTTCCATTTTGCTCCTATAAAGGACCATCCGGATCCTCTTTAGTGGAAAAGTCTCATTCAGTGTGCTTTGCATAACGGCCAGGAAACAGTATCACCTTCAGATATCAAACCAAAGAGGCAAAACCACATGGAAGTACTCTTACTACACAGCATAAAAAATAAAAGAGCTACAAAAAAGGCATAAAAGTAATAACATAATTTTAAAAACCTTTTCTGCAGAGTTGTCTTTATGGTTTAGTGTTTTGTAGCCCTAAGAAGAAGTGATGATGTGTAGATATAGTTTGGTCTGTACCTGAATTTCTGATCTTTGTGTGATCATAAGTCACTCATTAATAGGATCTGCACAAAGAGCTGCAGAGCTAGACTGTTCACTCAAGAAGCACTTATTAAATCATTTCCAAACAAAACATCAATCAAGATATCAACAAATATTTACTGAATGCCTACTGCATGCTTAAAACTGAGCTTAAGCCAAGACCACTCTCTCAGAAAGTTTACAATCTAGCTGGAGAGAGGAGACACATGAAACAATCAGAGGACAACACAACAAAAAAGTAAGTCCTAACTAATCCCATTTATAAACTTAATGGAGAGAAAATAGGAAGTGATAAGCTATATGAATTAGGTGTCTATTAGGTACTTAATTAAGGTATATTGGGAGCTAGGTGGTAAAGTGGATAAAACACTTGGCCTGGGGTCAGGAAAACCTGAGTTCAAACCTAGCTTCAGACACTTACTAGCTGTGTGATGCTGGGCAAATCACTAAACCCTCTTTGCCTCAGTTTCCTCTTCTATAAAATGAGCTAGAGAAGGAAATGGTAAACCACTGCAGTATCTTTGCCAAAAAAAACCCAAAAGGGGTCACAAAGAGTTGGACACAACTGAAAAACAACTGAACAACAACAAATTAAGGTATATATTAGAATCTACCTGTTGCATTTTCTTCTCTAGGTGTACTCCTCAGTTCTAGATACTTGACACCATCATCAGCAAATTCTTTAATAACATCTTTTGTGACCTGGTAACACATTATTATATAAAATGAACTCATCAATATGCATAGCAGAAGTAGCAGAAGTGATCATTTAAAGAAAAAACTTACACACTCTAAAATATATGAAAATTTCACAAGATGGCTTGGAAAATTTATACCTGCTCTGCTCACCCTTCTAAATTAAATTCATAAGTGAATCTTTGGACTATATCCTTTACTTCTCCTTTAGCCATTTAAAAAAATTCTAATCAGTAGGTTTGTGGAGCAAAGAAAGGAGATAAAGTTAAAATCACTGAAAGCTTGTTAGCAATGCTAGTGAAGAATTTAATGAAGGTAGATTTTTAAACTAAGAGCTAACATGAGATGTGATAATTACTGACAGTTTAAAGCCATGACTTAAGTATAACATGATGCAGCATAACTAAATCTGATGGCCAGATACTAAAAATGTGAAAACCATATTTCTTATTTTCTCAGTGACACATGTTATCATTTTGTTTTGTCAAGGAATTTGAAAAATAGTGAAACTGGGAAAATAAGGGTCTGATTATTTGACTCATTTCCCCAATGTTAAGGGATAGCATAGACTGTTATGTGATTTGATAGTCATCTTATTATTAAATTATTATTATGAAAAGTTAGTCTGTTTTAGTCATCTGTAAGGATTAAATAAAGTAGGTTCTGGTAATTTTGTCTTTCAGTTCTCATATCTTTTTAGATAAGCTACTAGATGATGATATGTCTTTAAACCCTCATTCTTCCTTTCCTTTGATTATTTAATATCTGTTGAAATTTGTACTTCTAATGGCCTTAATTCTGCCTTCACTTATCACTAGTTCCCTCTGCCATTAAATATTTCTGGGCAAAATTCAGCCCTGAAGAATTTTATTACTATACGTTATTGCTTCTAACAAACCTTGAGTCATGGCTTTAAATGAAATTTGTCTAAAATTAAGTTAAATTTATTCCCTTCTCTTTCTCCCTTCAAGGATTCTTTTATGACCCTAATGTATGAGAGAGACTTTGTCAGAAGACAAACAAAATATTAAATCATAAGTTTAACTATGGAGGTTCTTCTCTCACTAATGACAGAAACAGAATTTCACAGAAACACTAATTGTCCCATTTTATGTCTATTTTTTGACCTTGTCAGTTTTCTTGATGAATGCTTTTGAGATGACATGGCTCATTTGCATCTGACCCCAAGCTTTTCTTAGATCTATTTGCATTTCCATTGCTTTTTACTATTAAATGTGGTAATATTTCCTCTTCAAAATGTACCATCTATCTATACTCCTCTGCGATGTTTTACAAATGAGTTTTTATTCTAAGCTGGTATTTCCCTTGCATGCTATTTTTCTCTGGCTAGAAAGATCAAGTGCACGTTGGCTAAGGTGATTTCTGGGCCCTTTTGGCCTCCTCCTCTGTGAGGATAATTTTGGTACCCCCTACTCAAATTAAACAGTATATACTCAATTTACTGTGATTTGATGGGTATCAGTGATTACATTAGTGAATTAAGCAGAAAAGGATGAAGTTTAAGTTAGTTATGAATGTTGATGCTGTTAGGATAAAAGTTACATACGTTAGGGCCAAATAACCTCTTTTATATTAGTGATAATGATATTACACATTAGCACATCATGGTAGACTGTAGGATAAAATCATGATTGTCTGTTACAGAAAATCCTATTACATCAACCCTGGAGTTTGTCGTAACAGCATTAACATCCCTCACTTCTATGAATCATTATCATTCCTACCTGTTGACATTTCCTCTTGCCCACCAAATCCTAAACTCCTAAGATACTGCTGACAAAAATATTGGTTGTTTGATTTTCTAGGAAAATTCCTGCTAAGGTTGCAGGTGGAATGCTTTTTCCAAGAAAAACCTGATACAGAATACAGACTTAAAAGTCTGCTGACACAGTGATTATGATTAATCACTCCTCAACTAATCTTAAAGTTTTCTCCACTTCTGACACCAACTTGTCATGAAATAGAACTGTCTTATTGTCACTCTGTATAAATACTGGCCACCCTCAGGTAGAAGGGGTTCCTGATCTTAAGGAAGATCTGGAACACAAATGATTAGGGACTCCTGGACGCCCTAATAAATTGAAAATGTTTGGAGTACCTCGGTGTCTTTTTGTTCACATTGGATTGGAATTTTGGGGTCACACCTTCTTGTGACTATTTTATTTCAGTTAAAATTTTGCAGCAAAGATAATCAAGGTCATCATCTTTGTCTTTTGTTGCTCATTAACAATTTGCCTGAATAAATCTGACTGAAACTGTTGCAGCCATGTCATGACATCTTCTCACCTTTAATTTTCCAAACTGATGCAGATTAGTCCACTGTAATTGCACGTTGATGAATGATCCTAATATGATTCTCATATAAGTAATTAGTCATTTTCTGCCTAGTAAGTTGTGGTCAATTTCACTTTGTGTGGATGTCTGTTCCTCACATCTAATACTTTCCTACCTTCTCTTTGGTAGAGTATTTATGACATAAAGGCATGATGCTTCTGAGCAGTCTATAAGCCTTGGCCTCTTTTATTTCTCCAATGGGCATCCTTCTTGTGCTCACTTTAACACTGAAGTCAATGAGTTAAAAAAAGTTTATGCAGAATTTTTCTCTCTCTCCATCCTTTGCAGCGGGAATTTGATGTATAATTACAATTACTTTCATGGTTATCATGAACTTATGCTCTTAATGAGCAACACAAAGTAGGATAAATCCAGGTATTCCAAGAAATGATATTTCATGTTGCCTTTAAGCATTGTCACTTTTAAAAAGGTTCAAGAGAGACAGTTTCTGGGTAATTTAATCATTTTATTAATAAGGCCAGCAGGTTACTAATAAAAGAACTGTCATTTGGCCAGCTCGCTTAGACCAAAGATAATCATGGTGGGTGGACTTACAGTTATATACCCTTCAAAACAGCAGGTGGTCCATCAAACAGCAATCAAATCTAATTGGCTAATATGATTGGAAGTTGGCTATATTAAAATGAAGGACTAAGTATCTCCTGGATAGGGAAAGTATTTCTCTATACCAGACTACTCATAACTTTAAGCTATCAATTCAAAGAATGTATATCCCACCTAAGCCTAAGCAAAACCCATTGAGCTTCCCTACCTTAGATTAAATCCTTGCAAGGTTGGGTGGGATCTGACCACCAAGATGGAGAGTCAATGTAATTTCATTATCAGTAATGTCCTGAAGAAAAACTGAACTTTTAAAATGAGGAATTTAGAAGGGGAGAGCCTCTGAATCTCCCCAAGATATTGGTTATTCACCATCATTTCTCACAGCATATTATGAAACTAATTTTGTCAACAGCACTGTTTCTTTCTTCAAGGAAGGCTTATAAATCATCTTTTTTTCTCCTGGTCTCATTCACTGGATTATCATCACTGAAGTGATTCATTTCTTCTAGTTGTATGACAAATCTCACATTTAGAGTACCTATAGTAATTATTCATAAATGGTCTAAAAACTGGTTCTTAGCATCATTTGACCTTTTTATTGGCTTTCACATAGGACTGAGAACCATTTTTAATTTGCTCATTTAGGTCTCTAATTCATTAGTTTTCAGGGTCAAAGAATTCATCACCTTATGGATATTACTGTAATTATTTACTAATTCAATTGAAGAAACATTAAGAGCCTATTCTGTGCAAAGCCCTGTGCTTTGCAGGTACTGTGAAAAATAAAAAGTTTAATTAAGATACAGTCCCTGTCAAAAGACAACAGGTCTGTAGATTAAACCTGGAAGTGACCTTGGAGGTCATCTAGTCCATGTTTTACAGAAACTTAGGCCCAGAAAGGATAACTGATCTGTTCAAGTCTGTCCTGGTAGTAATTGGCAGAGAGGGAACTGAACTCAGCTGCTTTGACTTCAGATGCAGTATTCTCTCACCTGCATTAAACTCTTTCTTGTCCTCAAAGAGCTTATCGTCTAGTAGACAAATATGACACAAAAAGATCTGACTATAATATAAATGGGCTACAAACACACAGAAAAATTCTTTTGTATTCAAAATAGATGAGCCAAAAGAGAATTTTTCAGATAGAGAGAGCAATCATTTCACTCTTTCATTTTTTTCTAATAGTTAAGAATACTAAGATTTTTCCCCCCACCACTTGCATAAGGACTATAAACAATGCCATAATGGTCAGTCCCAATGGGCTATACTGCAGTGCTTCTTAAATTTAAAGCTGTAAGTGGAAAAAGTTTAAGAAGCCCTGGTCTATAGAATTCAATTCTCAGTGGTATTAAGGAATCATACGTATATTTTATCTAAGCCTTTCTGCAACTTCCACTCAATGTGGTTACATCTGGAGGCAAATCCTACATGTTAGAGGAAAGCTTCAGCTGCAAAAAATGTTCCAGAGAATATTAGGCTATAGATGGAAACATGGGAACAGATTTCACTTCAGAAAATGTATCTGTTTTGCCCTACTTGTTAAGACAGACTTAAGACTAAATCTCTCTCTGATTAATCTTTAAAAAGCACTGACCTTTATGTATTAGTTCCTAGGCAAATGATTTATATTGGTTTTGACAAGGGATCTTATTGAAAACAAAAAACTTAAAATCTTCCATCAGACTCATGACAAACAAAAAAAGCAAGAAAAATTTGAGGCAGCTAGGTGGCACAGTGGATAGAGCACCAGCCCTGAAGTCAGTAGGACCTGAGTTCAAATCCGAACTCAGACCAAACACTTATTAGCTGTGTGACCCTGGGCAAGTCACTTAACCCCAATTGCCCCCCCCCCCCAAAAAGTAATAATGTAAAAATCCTAAAAAGTCCTGGTAATATCTTACCATTAATATATCTTCAGGGCTGGTGGTAATCTGATGAATGAGCTGAAACATCTGGAAACATCTGCAACAAGACTCAGAATGAATTTCAAAATGTAAACACATTTATTATCTAACATCAAAAATTGTCTTCATAGAGAAACTCAAGCATTTGTCTTTCATTGTAATAATAATGATAATATGCTATCATTTCCTTTAGCTCAAAAAAACTGAATCTCTGCAACCAATGTGGTTTTGCCATTCTGCTTACAAGCTCAGAAAACATGGGAAAACCCCCGAAGTCCCTAACAAAGCTCCTTATGCTTACTCTTTTAAAGTTCTTTTCTTTCCTTTCTCAATCATAGTCATCTGATCATGAATTTTAAGGTCTGGCTTTTTGGCTATTAGCTTCTTCATAGTAGCAGAACTAATAGATCCATTCAAGTGCGCATGAAGTTCCTAAAAAAGAGACAATTATTAAGAATTTAAGTGCCAACAGTATAAAGACAAATGTATAATTAGGTGCTTACACTATACTAAGCAAACTGTCTATTTGGTCTATTTTCATTTAAAGACATATGCTTTTTAAAGTTATTTTACTAATGTAAAAAACTTAAAAATTAGCAATTCTGCTTAGCAAATTTACTTTTATGAGAAAAGACAACACATCTGTCAACATAATTAACATTAATTCAGGAATTACATGATTTGCTGTTTAATTCTCACCACTTTGGGTAATTCCAAGTAAAAATTATTCTTCTGTGGCTGCTGCTGCTCTTCCATTGCCATCGTGATTCTAATGGAAAAAAGATCTTCCTTCAAGCAAAAAAGGTATGTTCAAAGATCCCAAACACTGCTACTCTTGTTGTGAACCGCAACGTATAATGCTATTCAGCATGTTCTATAGTCTGGAACCTCTCTTACACAGGCTTCCTTCCATAAATTCTTCCACTATTGGTAGCACAACAGGACAGGAATAGCGCAATAGGTCAGGAGAGTATATCACCTACATTTTCACAAAACATGAACATTTTCCAATTGATAAGACTATTTTAAGAACAGACCACACCTGAGTAATAGGATTCCATTAATCCACCCTTTAGGAAGCACAACAGCAGTAATTAAGGGGGATTGGGGGTGGGGAGGAACCTATCTCCAAGAAACTATTTTTAAGAGCTCTAAGGTTTAAATATTGAAAAGTCTCTGCTCAGGTAAAAGAGGACTTCAATCCTAAATTTTAATACATTAGACCCAGTATTTACATGTTCACATGATAAAGTTGGCAATTTTCTACTTTTTAAAACTGGCACATTCAACTCTGAATTTGTTAATTCCATCTGGATGAAAAAGGCACATTATACATTCTCTGTTTATCATACCCCTACTATGTATTATACCTATCTACTTTTAGGAGTTGAGGAAGCTTACAGAGTAAGGTTAAAATTTACTAAATTCCAAAGGAAACTCATTATCATTCAAAGCCATGGTGGTATCTTTTTCCCTCATTAATTTTCCTAGTGTTGTTATATTGTTAGTCCCATTCCAAAAATTTTAAATTTCATCCTTCCATATCCAGGTTTAAAAGTTACTGGGGCCAGGCCTTATATCCTATATAATACTACTACTGACTCACATGTTGTCCTTTCCCACCTCTACCCAATATTCATTCTTAAGATGAACAGAAGGCTTATCTCTATCTTTCTCCTTCCATGGATCAAAATAGCCCTTGAAACACATAATTTTCTTTTTTTAGTCTATGAGGGACAGAAAGAACCTGCTTTTGCTCAGACAAGGTAAGGCATTAAAGTTGCAGAGACATTAAAATAAGGTGGGATCTCTCCTAATATTTAATACATTTTATACAACTGACTAGTAAGAGCACTAAGTTTTTATACAAATTTTCATAGGTTGACATATATTTTTAAAAACTGTCAATAACCAAATCCTCCCTGCCCAAGCAGGATACCAGACTCATTAAGACCATAAGCTCCTTGAAGATAAGGATTACTTCACTTTTCCCTTGGCATTCCAGTGCTCAGCACACAGTGAGCACTCAGTAAAATGTCTGACTGCTGATCCTTGCTGCTCCCAGTGCCATGTCACTGCCAACTCCAAGCTTCTGGGGTGGAGGTCGGAGGGATAAGGAAAAGCTGGAAGACAACCCCAGGACTAGCTCTTTCTCAATTCCAGACAATGTTTCATTAAGTAAAAACGTGAACACAACCCCTATTTCCTGCTACTCATACTACAGACTTTTCTGAGAATAAAACAGGAGGTGCTCTCAACTTTCATCCAACAAAACAGTCCCAAACATAAGGCTTTCTTCTTACAATTTGTAAAGTATAGGAAGGATGGGGTGTGTACTAAAGTTCATAACAAAGTCTATCTTGGAGCTCCAAGGCACAAATTTCAGCTATATCTATTTTTCTCTTTCTTTTTCAGTCCTTTCAAAAAAAAAATCTCCAAGTAATATGAGTCTCTGTATATCCAGCCCAAGTCTCTCTCTTAAGCTCCAACCTTGTATTACCAACTACCTTTAGCACATCTCAACTGGATGCACCATAGGCATCTCAAACTCAACATGTCCAACAGAACTCATCTTTCCCTTCAAAACACCTCTCACCTCTCCCCAACTTCCCTATTCCTGTCAAGCATACCACCATGTTCCCAGTCACCCAGACTCTCAACCTTGATATCATTCTTAACTCTTCTCTTATATTCACACCACACATCCTACATGTTGCAAAGTCTTGTACCCACCTAGTTGTTTCTATGCAGTTTCTCCCCTTAGAATGTGAGCCCCCAAAGAGCAAGGACTATCCTTTTGCCTCTCTTTGTATCCCCAGCACAAAACATGAATATGTGCCTGACACTTAAATGCTTTTTGACCTGACTTGTTACATCTTCTTAAACCCAAGGGAACCTAGCTTCCTCCATATGACAAAGCTGGACTCTCTAGTATCGGGTCCTTTCCTCTTTCATACAACCTGACACATTGGGCCAGGAGGAGTCGGTATAACTCTTGCTTCTCCCTTCCATTTCCAGACCCACCCTCTGCAGCCAACATAAAGCAACTTTTTTGAGGTTTACTCCATCCATCTAAATCACTCTGTCTAGATCAGGGGTGGGAAACCTACGGCCTCCTAGGTCCTCGGGTGCGGCCTTTTGACTGAGTCCAAGTTTTACAGAACAAATCTATTTGGTGAAGTTTGGATTCAGTCAAAGGGCCACACTTGAGGACCTAGAGGGCCACTTGTGGCCTTGAGGTCACAGGTTCCCCACCCCTGGCCTAGATCCTCATTACTGTAATCTACTGCCTTCCAGATCTCTTTCCATCCTTTTTCAAGTTAAGGCATGTAAGTACAGGTTTGTACGTGTGCATTCCAATGTTTGCCTTCATACTCAGAACTTCAACAAATTATGATATCCTCTCAATTGAAATGTCCTCCCAGTTAAACCTCCTCAGCTCTCGTGACCCATATCTTTCCTCCAAAGATACAGGAATGAGCAGTACCTCAGTTCTCACCATCAACCAACTGTGTAACCTATATGATTCTAAACACCAGAATTCACCACCTGACTCATAACCTCTTATCCTTTCAACTTCCTCAAGCCGCCTCAATCTATTACTTGTCCTCCTGCTCCCTGCTCCCTTCAGTCTTAACACTACATAGTTGATCAGTTCAATTATACACTGTCTTCCATCCTTAAATACCTTGCCCCCTTATCTTCCTGGAGCTCATGCCTTGCCAATGCCCAACTCTTGGCTACCAAAACCATCTGCCTTCTCTACTACTCCTGTGCTTCAGAACAGAAATTTGTGTTGACCTCTGATTCTCTACCCCTTTGCTCCAGACCCTGAGGAAGAAGAGGGATCATCTTGCAAGGGCCAAACCCTACCACTTGTGTCTTTGATCTCATTGCCTTATATCTCCTCCCAAAGGTTGCCCTTTGGATCTTGACCCTTTGAGCATTCCTTCTAGTTTATCTTCAGTCTCTCCCTCACTACTGGTTTCCTCCCTGCTGCCAGTTCAGATCTCTCCTAAAAACAAAACAAAACAAATAAACAAAAAAAAAAACGATATGACTCAACCATCCTCTTGAGTCACTGTCCTATAATTTTTTTCTCCCCTTGATAGCCAAACTATTTTTTTTAATTACCTTATATTTATTTTTTGGGAGGCAATTGGAGTTAAGTGACTTGCCCAGGGTCACACAGCTAGTAAGTGTTTGAGGCTGGATTTTGAACTCAGGTCTTCCTGACTCCAGGGCCAGTGTTCTATCCACTACCCTACTTAAGCTGCCCCCCCCCCTTTTCCTTTTTTATTACTAAAACTTAAATATACAATAATGATAGCCAAAATATTAAAAAAAAATTATACTCATTGCCTCCATTTACACACCTTGAGTCACTTTCCAACATTTAATAACTGCTTCTGTCCCAACATCAATTGGAACTGAATTCTCCAAGTTTCTCCAGCTAGGTGGTACAGTGGATAGAACAATGGGCCCAGAGTCAGGAAGACCTGAGTTCAAATGCAACCTCAGACACTCACTAGCTGTGTGACCCTGGACAAGTCATTTTATCTGTTTGCCTCAGTTTCCTCAACTGTAAAATGGGGGTCAAAATAGTACCTACCTCACAGGGCTGTTGTGAGGAACAGATGAGAGACTTATAAAGCAACTAGCACAATGCCCTGCACATAGTAGGTGCTTAATAGATACTTATTCTGTCCTCCCCCCTCTTCCTTTAATCCTATGCTAAATCTATTAGTCTTTCTTCCACTCCTCACCTTACTTGACCACTCAGCAGCTTCTGACATTGTGTATTATGCTTTCTGTCCTGGTTTTCATGACAATGCTCTCTTCCAACCTAACTGCTCCTTTTCAGATCATTCTTCTCTTGGCTTCTAAACATGAAATATGTTCTGTTCTGTATCTGTTCTAGAGCTTCTCTTCTCTAACTGGCTCCCTTCATGATCTCATTAGTCCCCAGATATTCAACCATCATCTATCTCTATGCAAATGATTCCCAAACTTGTAGTGCCTAGCCTAATCTCCTGAATTCCAGTTCCATATTGCCAAATGACTGCCAGACATCTCACTGACATCTTAAACTTCAACACATTCAAAATAAAACTCATCTTCTCCCCAATACCCACCCTCTGTCCCAACTCACCTATTTCTGTTTGATGGTACCACTATCCTTCTAGTCAGAGGTTTGCCACCTCAGAATCATCCCTAACCCCTCTCCCTCAACCAACAGAGCTAGTCAGCTGCTACGTCTATTTTTACCTCCACAATGTATCTCATACCATTCCTCTCCCACAACCACCAATCTAGTTCAGGCTGACATCATCTCTTGTTGAACTTTTACAATAGTCTCTTAGCTGCTCTCCCAGAGTCCTGTCTCACCCCTCTACAATCCATCCCTCCACTCCACATCCTCCACATAGACCTAATCACATAATTTCCTTGTTAAAAATTCTTTAGTGGTTCCCTATCATCTTTAGAACAACATACAAACTCTTTGGCAGTTAGAGTCCAATACAGCACAGCTCCAACCTTGCTTTCCAAATGTACACTTCTATGTTTCAAACTTTCTTGATTATCTGCTTCCTGTGCTCAGCACACCACCTCTTGCTTCCATGTCTTTGCCCAGGCTATTCCCTATGTCTAGAATCCAATCCATTATCACTTGGGCTTCTTAGAATCTTTAGCATCCTTCAAGGCTCAAGTCAAGTGCCAACTCCTATGTGAAGCCTTTCCTTCTCCCTTCAGTTGTTAATGCTCTCTCCAGCCTCCAATGACTCTGTATCTACTCATACATATTGACGCTGTATTTTACCCAGTAGAATATAAGCTCTGTGAATGTAAGGACTGGTTTGTTTTTGTCTTTGTGTCCTCTGGACCTAGTACAATGCCTTGCATATAGCAGATACTTAATGTTTCTTGAAAAATGTCTTCCTTTCCCTCTTTTTTTAAAAAATTTTAACCACAGTATATCTCATTCTTTGTCACAATGTAACACTACATCACCAAGATCTCATCGACCTTTGTCATTGATATGTCAAGACAGTGAGTTTCCACCCTATTGTTGGTTTCTTTCTTTCACTGATTCACATGCTCTCTGCTTCTCCTATCAAACCAGGTCCATCCTTCCATTACCTTGAATGTTCTCCCTTCTCACCTCAACTTCCCTGGCTTCCCTAAAGAGTCCACTCAAAATCCACCTTCTTCAGGTGGCCTTTCTCAGTCCCCCATCCGCAACTACTAGAGCTTTTCCTCAGAGATTACCTTCTGTCTACTCTGTATACTTCGTGTTTATACATAGTTGTTAACATGTTCTCCCCCTCATTAGAATGTAAACTCCTTCAGAACCAAGATGATACTGTGCACAGTAACAGCAACACAGTAGGATGATCAACTGTTTAAGTGCTTAACTATTCTCAGCCATACAATGATCCAAGATAATTCCAAAGGATTTATGATGAAAAATACTATCTACTTCCAAAGAAAGAATTAATGGAGTCTGAATGCAGATGAAAGCATACTTTCTTTACTTTATTTTTCTTGGGTTTTTTTCTGTTTTTGTTTTTTCCAGTGGCTCTTACGGAAGTGTTTTGCATGATGACTGTACATGCATAATCTATATCAAACTGCTTGCCTTTTCAAGGAGGCGAGAATTTGGAACTCAAAATTTAAAAAAAAAACTAATGTTAAAAACTGTTTTTACATGTAATTGACAAAAAAAAATTTTTTTTTAAAGAATGTAAGCTCCTTGAGGGCAGAGACTGTGTTTCGTGGTCTTTTGAAATATAATCCCCAACACTTAGCAGTGTCCTAGTAAGCATTTAATAAATGCTTCGCTGACAGACTTCCTTACTCTGTTGCCACCCCAACCTTCTGCTGAATGCAGTCTGTCAACTCCCATGTAAGTTCCATGTTGGCTTTACATCACTCTCGAGACACCCAAATTCGTTCCCTCTGACCCCTCTTTATTCTATTCAAAAGACCCAAGCGGCTGAACCGACTTTGCCCCCACCAGAAGACACCCCTAAGTTGTTCCCACCGTCCATTCAACCACAGGGCCTCAAAAGAAGGCGAGCATCCCATCTCCACGAACTTACCTCTCAAAAACTTCACATCTTTATAAACATAACGAGGAGAAATCGCTTTTTCCTCTTACTCCGAAAGATACAAGAAAAAGGTTTACGCCACATGTGCGGCGTCAGCCGCCAAGCGGATGTTATTAAGATCCTTAAGCAACCCCTCCCCGGAAGTCCTGAAAGGCACAGGGAAGCGGTAAGAGCGGAGCCAATCACAAGAAAGTGCTCGGTGCTCGTCCCGCACTCCCTTTTCTAATTGGTCGGAAACTGCTTTCTTTGGAAGTAACCTCCTGCGGGACCCAAGGAAAAGAAGAGCATCCACGATTCCCAGGATCGGCTAGAACGAAAGTGCAAAGGTGACCACGCGTTGGTAAGTGCTCTTCTGGACCATCAGCACGTGTTCCCAGCCCTCCAGTCGGGTGCCGGCGGCCATGGGCCCACGCGGCCGCGAGCGCCGGGCTGGGGCGGTGCAGAGTACGAACGACAGCAGCTCACTCAGCAAGTGCTCCCTCGCGGCGCACGGCTACGTGCGCGATCCCTTCGCGGCGCTGCTGGTCGCCGGCGCCCCGCGGCGCGCGCCGCTCATCCACCGCGGCTACTACGTGCGCGCGCGGGCCGTGAGGCACTGTGTGCGCGCTTTCCTGGAGCGCGCTCCCGCCGAGGACGGCGGGCCGCGCCGGCAGATCCTATCGCTGGGCGCGGGGTCCGACTCGCTGTACTTCCGCCTCAAAGCCGCGGGCCGCCTGGCCCGGGCCGCCGTGTGGGAAGTGGACTTCCCGGACGTGGCCGAGCGTAAGGCGGCGAAGATTCGCGCCGCGCCGGAGCTGGCCGCGTTGGCTGGGCCGCCCCTGACTGCGGCGGACCTGGGCCTCGGTCCCAACGCGGCGCTGCGCTTCGCCAGCCAGGACTACCGCCTCCTGGGCAGCGACCTGCGCGACGTGCCGGCGCTGAACGACGCCCTGGAGGCGTCCGGCCTGGACGTCGGGGCGCCCACGCTGCTGTTAGCCGAGGCCGTACTCTCGTACCTGGCGCCGGGCAGCGCCGCGGCCCTGCTGGCGTGGGCAGCGGGCCGCTTCACCGACGCCCTCTTCGTGCTCTACGAGCAGATGGGGCCCCACGACCCCTTCGGCCGGGTCATGCAGCAGCACTTCCAGCGCCTGAGCTCACCTCTGCACGGGCTGGCCAGCTTCCCCGACGTGGCGGCCCAGCGGCGGCGCTTCCTCGACGCGGGCTGGGGCGCCTGCAGCGCGCTGGACATGAACGAGTTCTACCGCGGCTTCGTCCCTGCCGTGGAGCGGAGGCGCGTGGAGACGCTCGAACCCTTCGACGAGTTTGAGGAGTGGCACCTCAAGTGCTCCCACTATTTCATCTTGGCCGCCTCCACCGCCGGCTCTCCGACCCAGGCCATGCCGCTTCCGCCCGTGGACGCTTTTCCTCGGGTGGAGCCAGCCCCTCCGGCTGGCGTCTTGTCTGCCAGTATATTAGGGGAGGGCGAGGCCTGTGCCTTGAAGCGGTTTGGCCATGCCTCAGCCCTTCTGGGCCCCAGTGTCATCCTCAGCACAGGGGGCTTTGGTGAGCAGGAGGGGCGACATGCAAGGATGAGCAAGTGTCATGTGCTGTTCAGACAAGCCGGCTCTAGGTGGAATGCAAGCCACGTGTGTGGGACTGGAGCACGATGGGATGGACGCCTCTTCCACACTATGACATCCTTCTCAGATACTCTGGTTCTTGTGCTGGGTGGGAGACTGTCCCCAGTGACTCCCGCCCTGGGGATGTACTGGCTCTGCTGCCCCTCCCCAGAGGGAAATGGTGCTGACAACCTAAAGGTGACCGTCACAGAAGTTGGCCCAGAATCAGAGTTCCCCTCTCCACGATGGCGACACTCAGCTGCTAAAGTCCTTTGTCAAAGGCAGACGTACTTGTTTGTGTATGGAGGGCGCAATGGGAAGGATCCTGTGCTAAGTGACTGGCTTTTTCTACACGTGGACACAATGACGTGGGTCAGTTTACCAGTAGAAGGGCCAGAACCTGATGCTCGACACTCTCATAGTGCCTGCAGTTGGAAGGGAGGAGCCCTCATTGCAGGAGGCCTGAGTGTTTCAGAGGAACCACTGAGCTCCGTACACTTCCTGAAACCAGTCTCTAGTGGATTTTGTTGGGAAAGGTTGGAGGTCCAGCCTCCTATCACCCCAAGATATTCTCACACAGCCCATGTGTTTGATGGAAAGCTGCTGCTGGTAGGAGGGGTCTGGATTCATTCCTCCTCTGTTCCTGGAGTGACAGTAATTGACCTGACCACAAAACTGAGCTCTGAATACCATATTGACACGACCTGTGTTCCATGGCCTCTAATGCTGCACAACCATACCAGCATCTTCCTACCAGAAGAGCAACAACTCCTCCTTCTTGGAGGTGGTGGGAACTGCTTTTCTTTTGGTACCCACTTTAATCCCCACCCAGTCACTTTGGATATCACTTCTTTGAAGCCTAAGCAATGATTGCTACGGTTCACATAGTAAATAGGTTGATTTGGTGTGAAATGTCCAAAATTAGGAAGCTGATCTTCCATCCCCTGAAATGGTGTGGAGATTTTCTCTGAGAGAAACAGACCATCAAGGATCCCTTGTGTAGAAAATCACAGATAGGATAGTTAAATTATGACAACAAATGAGGCCGTGTAAGAGACTATGGAAGGGTACCTGGGATTGTAGGTGAATAAGACAACCACATACCACTCATTCTTGCAAAAAACCAAACCATTAGTCTGAAGCACAAATGGAGCAGCCTGAAAAAACGGCTTGAACAAGAACAGGGGAATAATTCCCAAGAAAACTTGCAAATCTACATTTGCAAAGTTGTCGTTTCAGTCTGTGTTTTATCATTTAGTTTTGTCTCTGTGTAATCGGTTTAGGTTACAGATTTCCAGTTAGCTTGTTTCTTTAAGTTTGATTTTGTTGTTAAAATAAGTTTATTAATTTTTTTATGTATTCATAATTTGTCCCTCCCACTATACCTCCCCCCCACCCCATGAAAACCAAAACCGTTATCGTAAACATATATAGTAAAGCAAAACAAATTCTCACTTTGGCCATGCTCCAAAATATGTTTCAGCATTTTAAGTTCATCATCTCTGGCAGGAGGCAAGTGTCATCTTTAGTCTCCTGAACTCATGGTTTATAATTGCATTGATCAAAGTCTAAAGCCTTTAATCAAATTGTTTTTCTCTACAGTTTTGTCCTATAAATTGTTCATTTTCTCACTTCACTCTGTCAATTCGTTGAAGTCTTCCCAGTTTACTCTGAAGTTGTCATTTCTTATGGCATGATAATATTCCACTGTGTTTATACATCATAATTTGTTTCACCACTCCCCAATAAGACAGCTACTTAGTTTCCAATTTGGGGCTACTATGAAAAGAGCTGCTAAGATATTTTTGTACGTATAGGTCCCTTTCCTCTTCCTTTGTTCTCTTTGAGTTATAGGCCTAGTGGCATATCTGGGTTCAGTTTAGTAACTTTTGGAGCTTAGATCCATGTTCATTTTCCAGAAGGTTTGTACTAACTTGCAGTTCCACCAACAATGCACCAGTGTCCCTGTTTTCCCTCAGTTGCTCCAATAATTGTCATTTTCTCTTTGTTTTTGATGGGTGCGATAAAACCTCAAAGCAGCTTTAATTGGCATTTCTCTATTTAGTGATTTAAAACACTTGATATGATAACTTGGATTTCTTTCTTTGAAAACTTGTGTATATCCTTTGGGTATCTCTTGGGGATTAGGTCTCAGTTTCATAAATTTGAATCCATTCCTTACATATCTTGGGTATGAAACCTTTATCAGAGGAACTTGTTGCAATTAATTGGATTTTGTACAGTACCTTGCACACAGTTCATACAATAATGAATTGTTAGTAATGCGTCTTGAATTCTCAACCTTAAATCTGAACCTCTTGTACTGAGCCTCACATTACCTCCTGCTCAAAATACATAACCTTGTGAGGTAAGGAGTACACATATTTATACACTTTTTAGGGATGAGGAAATGGCGGTTTGGGTTAAGTGACTTGCCCAAGGTCACATAATCATCAAGCATAAGATTTGTGTTATACTAAGGTGCATTTACACTAGTCATGGTCTTTGAGGCTTTAAGGATATGGAGGAAAAGCAGGTATGCATAGGCAAAAGTTCAGCAGGCAGTGGTTTTAGAACAGGTGTCCAAAGGCTTCTAAGTGGAAATCTTGAGGCAATGTATTCATAGATAAGACCAGTATCAGGAATGAGGGGAGGAGCTTGAAGTAGACTACTCCTATGAAGAAGGTTTTAGTTGCTGGTATAAGTATTTGTGTTCCAAGAAAAAGTGTGAACTTAGAATATAATAGGGAAAGGGGGCCTGGATATTCAAAAGAGAGTTATAGAAATGATATTATGAGATATTGTGTGGGAAGATAATTTCTCTCTATCCAGGGGGGAGCCCTAGGTTTGAAGGGCATTTATGCTTATGTAGAGTATTGTAGAAGGACACATTGGAAGCAGCTAGGTGGTACAGTAGATATGTTGGGTCTGGAGTCAAGAAGACCCGAGTTCAAATCTGACATGTACTATGTGTGATTTTGGACAAGTCACTTAACCTCTTTGTACCTCAGTTTTCCCATCTATAAAATGGGGGTATCATCACCTACTTCCTAGGGATTTTGTCAGGATTAAATGAGAATGTAAAGCACTTAGCACAGTGCCAGTAAGCTCTGTATAATATTATTATTACCCAGAGATTTGTGGCAGACACATCAGCATCTGGAGCATATCAAGTAACCCCAAGCAAGAAGACCTAGATTAAAACCTCAAGGCTCAAAATGAGATAGTGGGTCAAAATCAGAGCTACTGATAAGCAAAAAACAGGGACACTGGTGCATTGTTGGTGGGGCTTCTAATTAGTCTAGCCATTCTGGAAATACCTACAGGAGGTATAATTTTAGATAACCCATGGTCTGTAAGACTCATAGAAAGCCCAAATGATTCTGCCATAGGGCAACATGGCATAGAAGATCAAGTGGCCTCAGAGTCAGAGAACCTGAGTTCAAAATCCTATTTACTAACTGGGATCATAGGGAGGTCATTTAACTTCTCAGAGACCCAGTTTCCTTATTTATAAAATGGAGATAGAAATAACTTGCACTACTGCTTTCACAGGTTTCTTCTGAGGAAGGTGCTGTGCAAGCCATGAGTTGATATTGATGTGTAAGTGATTTAATCTGTGGCCTAGAATCATCTTGGTTTGCGGGCGTCCTTTAGATGAGTTGGTTATAGACACAACAGACCTTTTAGTACTGCTGCTGTATACCCCCAAACCTATCCCAAAGTGAACACAACCACCTAAGTTCCCTTCAGAAGTACCCTTAGTGGGCCTTCAAGTGAACATTCTTCAGTCTAGATATCTATGAGCTAGACCTGAAATCACTGTGAACCACAGAGGCCTTTAATTCTTCCCAGCTGGATCCACATCCCCTGATAAGTCTGGAAATAGGCTGAAGTGGTAGTGGGACCAGAAAGAGAAAGAAAAAAATTTAAGTGCGTGTTATGTGCCAGGCATTGTACTAAGCAGAGGGGATGCAAATGCAGGAAAAAATAAAGGTAGTCCCTACCCTCCAGGAGTTTACTACACTCTAATGAAGGAAGATAACACTAAAGTAAGTGAAAAGCAGGATAGGACTGGGCATGGTGTCAAAGTTGGGAAAAGTTAGAAGCAAAGACAAGAACAGAATAAAAGCCACCATGTTGGCCTGGGCCCCACTCCAAAAATGGAGGCTCAAGCAGGGATTTCACCAATGGGAAAAGGGAACCTGCATAGTGGAAGGGTGTTCCAGGGTGAATAGACCCCAAGCTCCAAGGCAGCTGAGGAATGATAGCAAAGTATAAAAAAGTAGAACAAATTCACTTGTCTCTTCCCACCCCTCACTCTCCCAGAAAATGACAGCATGGTATAGTAGGGAGAATGCTAGACTTGAAATGAGAACATGTGGATTCAGGTCCCAACTCCGACTCTTTCTAGTGGGTTATTCTGTGCAATTCACACAACCTGTCTGAGCTCAGTTTCCACATCTGCAATATATTTGCACCATCTCACAGGATTATTATGAAGAAAGTACTTTGTAAATCTTGGAGCACTATATTAAAAAAAATTTTTTTTAAGCCCCTTTCTCCATAGACATGCCAAGTCTTTTTGTGAGATAAGTTGATCACTCTATCCAATATGGAAGATACTCTCTTGGACCATGCTGTCAACATTGTAATATAAGTAATTTCAGGTAGTAGTAATAACTCACATTTTTATACCATCATATATTTAATTTAAAAGTAGCATAGTGTTATAAGATTAAGCCTGCTGATCTTGAGATCACCATGACTGTTTCCCATTAAGGGACGCTACAGCTTAGTATCTATGCATGAAAACCATTGTTTTATGATTACGCCTTATGGTTTTGAGGCTGAAAGCTTATAGAACATACTCGTGGAAAAATACTGACAACATTTTTCAACGGTTGGTATAGCCATGACCCCCAAATAATATTTTGTCTACCACCAGCTTTTCTCCCTGAAAACAGTCCCCCCCCCGAAATAATATTTTGTCCTGACCTCTGATACACAATTCGGCCATCCAAAATCATGGTGTAAGAACCTCACTCTCAAAAAAGCACTTTAGAGCATCCCTTCCTGCTGGAGCATACGCTTCTCCCCGGCAGGAGCACAACTTCCTGCTGAATGGACCCATACCTGTGCCCCTCCTTGCAGCACTGCCCTTACATTAGTTATGCTCTATGTTAGTGTGTATGACTGAGTTGTATGTTGGGTATCCTTTTCTTCTCTTCCCTTTCCCCTCTTTTTCATTGTTTGCAATAAAGCTTTGCGCTGACTCCCATGGTTTTGCATTCTCAGCACCTGAACTCATTAAGGGGCTGTTTTTCCTGATGTCTCGGGCTGGCCATGGGTCTTTCCTTAGACATAAACTGGGTATCCAGAGAAGGACTTAGCCTATTGACAGCTGCGCCTGTCAGGGGACTGTGAGCCCAGTTGTAGAAAGCAAGGGCTAATAGGTGAACCCTATGTCCTTCCAGGAGGGATTCCCTTGTGCCAGAAGATTGTCACAAAACATACAGATCTTAGTTTTCTTTTACAACAACCTCATTTCTTATACATGTAGAAAAAAATCCAGAGAAGGAATGTAACACTCAGTATTACTTTTAAGAGACAGTACTGGGAGCTGAGCCCAGATCTTGCATTTCCAAAGGCCAGTGCTTTTTATTAAATCTCTCACTATGCTATAAGGAAGCAAAGAAGGAAACAAACATTTATTAAGCACCTACTATGTGCTAAGGACTGTGGTAAGCACTTTACAAATCTTTCATTTGATCTTCCTGGGAGGTAGGTGCTATTATTATCTCCAATTTCAAGTTAAGGATACTGAGGCAAACAGGTCTTGCTTGCTCAGGATCACACAGCTGGTAAGTATTTGAACTCAGGTCTTCCTGACTCTTGGCCCAGCACTTTATCCACTGTGCCATCTATCTGCCTCTACCTATAATGAGGTGATTAGGAGGGACAGGAAAATTTGGGATTTTTTTCAGGTGAGGAGTTTGGTGGATTTTTTTTTTTTCATAATATGTGCCAAACCTTAATTAAAAGTAGTAAAGTGGTGTCTATTCCCCTGTGTATTGGCCAGCATCTTGTATTGTGACTAATCGGGCTTGTTCTGCCCACAGAAATTATCCACATTTTCTGTAAGCTATTACCAGATTAAGGATGCCCTTCCCCACCTTTTAGCTCATACATGCATCATGCACCTCCCAGTCCCCTCATTAGAACACTTGTGAAACTATAACTTGTCCCAACATTTACTTTGTGGCCTCATGGGCAGTGCTTCCTGACCAGAGGCTTATTATAAATGGTCTGTGGCAATTCCATCTGTATCCCAGCTCTGGCATGAATCGAGGAATTTAGTCATAAATGTTGCCATCCCAGCCTACCGCTAAACACACACGTACACACACACACACTTTCTCTCTCTCTGTTTCTCTCTCTCCCTCTTCCCCTTCTGTCTTCCTCCTCCCGCTTCTCTCTCTGTTCCTCCCCTCTCTCTGTCTGTTTCCTTCTTCCTCTCCTTTTCTGTCTCTGTCTCCCTCCCCCCATCTCTCTCTGTTTCTCTGTCTTTCGCCTTCTCTCCCTACCTCTCTGTCTCTGTCTCCTCTCTTTTTCTCTCCCTCTCTGTCTCTCTTTCTCTATTTCTGTCTCTCTTTTTTCCTTCTTCCTTTCCTCCCTCCTTTCTGTCCCTCCATCGCTACAACTGAGAGTCTTAAGAAATTGCCCAGAGTCAGTGTGTGTCTAAACTCAGGTCTTCCTGACTCCAAGGTCAACTTGATCCTAGATGCCTAGATCTCCTCTAAACTCTTTACTGAAAGCCCTGTGAAGACGCTGAGAACAGCACAGGAAGAGAGAATAGAAACACCCTTGCTTCCCTAGGCCAGAGAGACCAAGGTGACAAAGGGTGGAGCCATCTATTTTATATCAGTAATCAATCCATCAGAGGCACAGTAAGAATTTGTTAGACCAGATGGCCTCCTTCCCTCACCCTCCCAGAAAAGGTAAGAACTCCTATTCTAAAGTATGCACTGAACATACGTGGTTTGTAGAACTGAATGCCATCACATTCTTGTTGTGGTTCCTAAGGATTGTGACTAAACTTCCGTCTTTCTAAAGCTTTAGTCCTCCTCAGTGATGTTAGCAAATAGG